TATAGGCAGAAACATGGGTGTGCTATGGGGTCTCCAGTTTCTCCTATTGTTGCCAACCTGTACATGGAGGAGGTAGAAAAGAGAGCCTTGACGTCCTTTTCAGGGACACCACCAAGTCATTGGTTCAGGTATGTTGACGACACCTGGGTTAAAATTAAATCTCAGGAAGTCCAACATTTTACTGACCACATCAACTCTGTGGATAAATACATCAAGTTCACACGAGAAGATGTAAAAAATGGCAAGTTGGCTTTCTTGGACTGTGAGGTCTCAGTCTCCGATAGAGGACATTTGCAAACCGAGGTGTACCGCAAACCCACCCACACAGACCAGTATTTGCAGTTTGACTCCCATCACCCTTTGGAGCACAAGTTAGGAGTCATCAGGACTCTGTATCACAGAGCAGACAGCATCCCCACTAGCTCGGGAGCCAGGCAGAAGGAGAAATCCTACTAACAGCACCTCAGACTGAGGAAGTCTCTTGGATGAGAGACGAAACGTTTCTAGATTTTTTTGCTTTGTTTTGTGTTTTTTTGAATGTCCAGAGGACCAGATTGAACTTTTTTGGATTTTTCTACCTGGATTATTGAGCATGCATCAGGAGATTCATTGTATAATAATTGTAAAAAATATAAAAGGTTACTACTTCACGGATTTCGCCTATCACGGGTTCTTTTTGGAACGTAACCCCCGTGAAAAATGAGGGTTCACTGTATATATATAAAGGTGTTTTAAATCCTTCCCACACTCTTGCAATATTCTAAACAATGTTTCTAAACTCTAAACGCTCTAAAAGAAACAAAATGTCATGATTTCAGCTCCCTTTCTCGTCTGCTCTTTGCCAGCTGCAAGCACTCTTGGCCACACTCACTTCTCAGCTCTGCACGGCGAACAGCTGATCAGCTGCAGCAGGAAGTTTATCCTGCAGTAAGCGCTGCACAAAGGTGCAGGAGGTGCAACATAATTTAAAATAATTTATTTTAAATAAAAAATATGCCTATCGTGTGGCTCATCTATCCATCAGCCAATTGTGTGTCATGTTGAATCTTATTTTGAAAAACCGTGACAGAGCAAGTCTGTGATAAACGAACCGCGGAGTAGCAAGGGCCTACTGTATTTTTTTTCATCACCATATTGTCATGTTCTTTGTAACGTTCCTATCTGATCACTTTTAGTTCATCATTTAGGCCCCCTTTACCCTGGATAAGGCTGGCTATGACACAAAAACATTTAGTCAGAACATGGACCATCTTTGCAGGTTTTTAGGAGAATATTAAGAATGAATTGGCTTTCATGACACACAACAAAGTGTGATCAGTTTTGAGCATGCGCAAAAGTTTGTAGCAAGCTTGTGGAGGTTTATTTTCACGATGGCAGCGTCTGGAGGTCCAGGTTGGAGCATGGTCGCAGCCTACATGCATGTGTCAGGATGCACCGCAGCATCCTGACACAATCTGAGTGAGTCATGCCATGGTAGGTGTACAGTGTGTTGATGTGGAAAATACGTCAAATCAGAGCATTGGATCATCTTGGTTGCCTTCACACTGAAGGACGTTTTGAACTAACAGGTTGTGTAGGTCGTGCGAAGAGCATCTGGGTCAGTATCCAGACGAAGGAGACCTTCAGCCAGTATTTCATTGAGCTGTGACGACTTGTTGACTAGTTGGTGAACAATGTTCCCAAAGGAGTCTAAATGTCTGAAAACGTTAGTGGTGTTTTAAATTTCCTCAACAGAGTCAAAAAGGTTTACAGTCCTGTTTCTAGAACTTTCAACATGCATTATGAAAACACGTCCAGAGATGCTAGTATGATTATATGATGATTAATATGACTCAAAACTACTGGAAAAAATAGTTGAGTCCCAGTTAAAATGTTTCTTGGAGGATCACGCTATCCTAGAGTTATTCCAGTCTGGCTTTAAATCTCTCCACAGCACTGAGACTGCTCTACTAAAGGTTTTTAATGACATTTTCATAGCTACAGATGCAGATGATTCTGTTATGCTTGTCCTATTGGATCTTACATCTGCTTTTGACACCATCGACCATGGGCTCCTCATTTCTAGGCTAGAGCAGTGGGTGGGCATCACAGGGTCAGCCCTCAATTGGTTTAGGTCCTACCTCTCTGACAGAACCTTTTGTGTCAACATTAAGGATTTTAGTTCATCATCAGCAACTCTTCTGTTGGGGGGGGGGAGTACCGCAGGGGTCCATCCTCAGTCCTCTTCTCTTTTCTTTATACCTGCTGCCACCAGATGTCATTAACAAAAAAAAACAAAAAAACATACCCTGTCATTTCTATGCCGATGACTGTCAAATTTACTTCCCTCTGAAGCACAGTGGTGCATGTTCTATTCAACCTCTTCTTGACTGCCTGGCTGATACCAGGTACTGGATGTCTTACATTTTTTTTAAGCTTTAATGAGAAGAAGTCTGAAGACATGTTTCTTCCTAATGGAACGATCAAGAACCAAGGTATCGACTTCTCCTCTCTAGCCCCATTACAGAAACAAAGAGTCACTAATCTAGGAGTGATAATGGACCCTTCCATGAAACTTAACAGTCATGTAAACATGATTGTTAAATCCTGTTTTTTTTTTTCAGCTGAGGCGACTGTCTAACCTAAAGCCCATATTGTCTAAAAATAACCTTGAGACAGTAATACATGCATTCATAATATCCAGACTCAATTACTGCAATGTGCGTCTGTCTGTTTGGAATCAGTCAGGCCTTCACTGCACGATTACAACTGGTCCAAAATGCTGCAGCCCAATTTTTAACTGGTACGGGCAAAAGAGAGCACATTACACCAGTTCTGGCCTCCCTGCACTGGCTCCTGGTTCACTTTCGAATTCAGTTCAAAAATTATTTTGTACGTTTTCAAATCTCTGAACAGTTCTGCCCCCTCTTATCTTGCTGATCTGCTGCAGCCATATGTCCCACAGCACTCTCTGAGGTCTGTAAATCAGATGCTTCTTTCAGTTCCAGGAACCCGTCGTAAGCTCAGAGGTGACAGGGCCTTCTCTGTTGCAGGCCCAAGACTGTGGAATGACTTACCACTGCATGTCAGGCAGTCCTCCTGTCTCACAGTTTTTAAGACTCACTTAAAAACCCACTTTTATTCCCTGGCTTTTGACACAGTATGATTTGTTCTTAACCTGTCTTCTACAATGTTAGCCATTTAGTTATTATCTTCTTTCCTTCGTATCTATATTTTTATTTTACTTTTGTTTTTTCTGTGTACTTTGCTTGTTTGTCCTGCTGTACAGCACTTTGGTTGGCCTTGTTCTGTTTTAAGTGCTTTATAAATAAAGTGGTATGGCATGGTAATATCTGTATTTACCAACTAAGCCTCTTTATTCTTCATCAGTTCACAGTTTATTTTCTTTGTCTTGTAAATACTTAGTAGAACAGTGTACGAGTAAAAAAATCTCTGGCTCTGTAATGGTTGTGGAATGTTGTGGTGGAAACATTTGTAAAAATGCTCAAACAGGCAGGAAACAAGGACTGGTGGACTCTAACTGGACCCAAGTGCTCGGTCGGCTCGTACCTCTCCTTTCTGATTGATGATGGGCACTGCATACTGAAGTTTGACATCGTAGAACAAGCAAGCCAGGAAGACGTTGGCCACGCCGATCAGACTGTGGTTCTCCTGTTCGTCGAAGAAAGGGTCCGCCCGTTTGAAGTAGGATCTCATCACCTACATCAGGGAGGAAAACAGAATCAAAAGTGTGAACATTATCAACTGTGATGCTCTCTACAGTTAATTTGTATTCACACAAATATACTATATATTAAGAAGAGCGCTGCATACAGCACATTTTACACCCGTCAAACCATTATACAGCAATCAACCAAGCAAAGGCCTTGTATAACGTTTGACCTTCATTTGTGACCTTGATCTTAGAGCTGGGCTGATTAAAAGATGCATGACACGCCATCTAGTGGTACAAATGCATATTTAATTGTTTTTTAATCATCTTGAGCGCATCAGAAGGTATGGGCAGGACAAGAAAGTTTACGAATTGATGGAGTCTGTACCATAATTTCTCCATATTTCAACAGGTGTATACGAACAACAACAACAACAACAACAACAACAACAACAACAACAACAACAACAACAACAACAACAAACAAACAAATGTATTTTAGCTCAAATGGTTGTTTTTTTTCCACGTCCTTTACTTAAGTTGTATATTTCTGGACTTACAGGGTTGTCCTCGTCCAAGTCTTTCCACTCCTGGTAGAGGTCCCTCATGTCCACCAGGCGGTTCTCAAGCTTCTCCAGGGCCCAGATCTGCTTCCCTTTTCCTTTCCGGCGGACCTGGATGGCAGGTTCACTCAGAACCACATCTCTCTGCGGTAAGAGGGAATAGTTACTGCCGATTAATAAACCTGCTCTGATGGTTTGAAGCAGAGGATTTTATTACAACAGCCCTGGAATTTAGACTTTTCTTCTTCTTGTTGGTTGACATGAGTTTAGTCTTCTACCTGTAGACGTTGAAAACTAAAAAAAATTCAGAAACTTCATCTGAGTGTGCAGCTCAATCAGGAACATCGTGCTGACATCTGCTAATGTTGCAACATAAACAAAACGTGTGTGGACGGAGTTGTGACAAATTTCCTGTGGCTGAGTGGTTAGAGCAGTCGTCCTCCAATCCAAGAGTTGGGGGTTCGAATCCACCAGCAGTCACATGCTGAAGTGTCCCTGGGCAAGACACTGAACACTTCATGGCCTCTCATGTGTGTCCTATCAGTGTATGAATGTGATCTAAAAGCACTGATTAGTCTCATTAGAATGATTTGTTCAATTAGCTTTGCAGAGATCTAGTAGAGTGCTGTATGAATGGGTAAATGAGGCACAGATTGTAGTGTAAAGCACTTTGAGTATCTTGAAATAAGATAGAAAGGCGCTATACAAGTACAGTCCATTTACCATATGATCAAACCATGTGAGAAGACTCAGACACCTCACAGCAGAAACACTTTTTCAAGTTACGTTCCTTTATACAAGACGGCAGATGAACTTTTATAATTTTGAGACATTTTAACAAAGAATGTGATGAAATCTCACCTACTGCAGAATAGTGCACATTTTCCAATATGTTTTTTTTTTTTTACAAATTATGTTTCCCCACCAAACTTTACACTTCTTACAGAGGATAATACATTAAAACGGACATTTTCAACTTCGGCCTCCTGATGTGTCTTTACAACAATGAATTGGGTTTATTCAGAAAGAACAAACGGACCACGTACCCCCAAAGTTTCATGATTAAAGTCCATCTAACAAGACTGATATCTGAATTCTTAAAGTAAACTGAAAATGTTGAAAATCAAGTTAAAATGTTTCAAGACTAGGACCATGGAAGAAGCTCATCATGCTCCCACACTAGGGCCCCGATTTCCTTAATTTTGGGAAATCAGAGATCGGCCAATACTTATATGAGAAACCGATTTTACAGATTTTTATTTATTTTTTGTAGTTTTAACAACAATTGTCTGAACTTCATTTATATTTCAGAGCACTACCTCATGGCCAGTTAAAACAAGTTTGTACTGTTTCTAGGATATTGTTCAAGGGTAACCTGGATTATTGAGCATGGACTGTTTTTGTTCAAGGGTATGTTTTTCAATAAAATAAGATTGGAAAATTGAAGGTGCATTGTGACCTTATAACACCTGACAGTGTCGATTATAAAACAAAATCGGTGATCGGCCAGAAAACTGCCATCGAAGCACCCCTATCCCAAACCAGACTGAACTGGTTCAGTTTTTGTGTTATTGTAGTCCAGGTTTATGGGTCCATTTTATTACACCCCAACAGGTCAAAGTAACAAAGACACAGAACTTTCTTCCGTCCTTCACTGTAAGAGTCTCAAATACACCACACTCACATTGTCTCAGCCTAAACCGCTACTAAATACGAGAAGTTATTTATTTAGAGGACAGAGTTCTGATGTGTTTGATAAAACCAGTCAGGCATGGAGGGGGGAGTTCTGCAGAGAACCTTCATGGAGGTTCTCCTCTCTCCACTGACATCCCCACCCCACCCCGACTAAGACCCTTTGCTCAGACTGGCCAAGCAGCCAACTTTATGGAGTCCTGGTGGTTACAAACTTCCTCCATCTACAGACCTTCAGTGTTTCAGACATTCTTCTGTAGCCTTTTACATATTTGTGGTTCAATATAATCTTGTCTCATAGGTCCACAGACAGTTCTTTGGACTTCATGGTTTGGTTCTGATATGTGCGGACAACTACAGGACCTTTATATAGACAGGTGTGTCTTTTCATATCATGTCCAATCTCCTGAATTCACCACTTGTGTACCCATGAAGTTGTAGAAACACCTGAAGGAGGATCAGAGGAAACAATATGCTTTAAATCAGGGCTATCCAACTGCTGGCCCGCAGGACGGTGACTTCAGTCCAGCCCACCAGTTCATTAATTGGTTCTAGGTATGGGTTTTGGATTCTGTTCATTGTATTTATGATTCAAAACAATAAAACAAACGCATCTAAAAGGTAACAGCTCATTGTAATACTTGGTTAATTTACATAATGATTAAATGCTGGATGTCTGGCCCCTGAGCTGTTGACTTTCTGTAATTGTGACCCCCTGAGCAGCTTAGTTGAATAGCCCTGCTCTAAATACAGGTACTTATGCACATGTCAGATTTTTTTTTGACCAATTCACAAAAATTTAAAACACCCTTTTTGCTTTGTCATGATGAGGCATTCTGTGAATAAAATAAAGAATTTAATCAAGTTTGGAATAAGGCAGAACATAAAATGTGATTACTTTCTGAATGCACCAAAGAAGTTTTGAAGATTTCTCTCAAATCCCCCTGCAGGGCTCAGAGCATGCACACTCTGTGCATGTCCAAACTTCAGTTGGCTTCCATTTTATCTGAGCTCAGAAAATGTTGTTGTAACTCCAGCATAAAACAAAAGACACAAAAAACTGACCCAAGTTATGACCAAAACACCTGACTCAACCTTGTTAGAGTTTGTTAAGGGTGCCAAACTAAACTTAAAACAGCCTAATAAACCTTAAAACAGCCTAAAAAAACCTTAAAACAGCCTAATAAAACCTTAAAACAGCCAAACTAAACTTAAAACAACCTAACAAACCTTAAAGCATCCATCCATTATCTTTTACCCGCTTCTTCCAATTTGGGTCACGGGGATCGCTGGTGTCCATGTTCATCGATCACTGTGCGAGGGGCGGGGTACAACCTGGACAGGTTGCAAGTCCATCACAGGGCCACATAGAGACAAACAATCATTCACTCACACTCACTCTCTCACACACTCTCTCACACTCTCTCTCTCTCTCTCTCTCTCTCACACACTCTCTCACACTCTCTCTCTCTCTCTTTCTCACCCTCACCTAGGGACAATTTAGAGTTACCAATCAGCCTAACACGCATGTTTTTGGTCTGTAGGAAGAAACTGAAGTACCCGGAAAAAACCCACGCATGCACAGAGAGAACATGCAAACTCCACCCAGAATGGCCCCCGGACAGGTATTTGAACCGGGGACCTGCTCACTGAGCGGCAGCAGCTCTACCAGTTGTGCCACCATGCTGCCCAACCTTAGAACAGCCAAACTAAACTTAAAAACAACATAACAAACCTTAAAACAGCTGAAGAAAACCTAAAAACAGGAAAACAAAACCTAAAAACTGCCTAACAATTCTTGGAAACAGCCAAACAAATCTTAAAATCAATCTAAGAAAACCCCAAAACAGCCCAGCAAATCTTAAAACATCCTAAGCATCATTTGAGAGAAAAATAACGAAACAGCTTGAAATAAAACCAACGTTAAAATTAGTCTTTTCATCATTGGAAAGACAAAGTTACAATATGCACAAAATGCAGAAAAAAAACATGGTTAGCTGAAAAAAATCCAAAATGATCAGAAAAAGCACTACGTATAAAAAAAAAAAAAAAGCTAAAAAGAGCATAAACAAAGGCAGAAATAGCAAAAACCTATCCGCTAACCGCTGAAGAAGCTGAAGAAGAGTAAAATGCAGTGTTTCCCCTACCATTATACAAGCAGGGCGCACCACCCCGTCAACGGAACCGAGCGCTACGTCTACAGAAACCCCCAACCCCACCCCCACCCCAACCACCTGTCGGCACTGACGTAATGCTAAACTAGCGGCTCGCAATGCAGGTGTGCTAGATAAAAAGCTAAAGGCAGCCTCTTCCCTCATGCTGAACCCTCATGCTGAATGCACCTATGCCACTCAAAAACTGTCGGTACAAACAGCGCATGGCTCAGATGTGTGTCTGTCTCTCCGACACCCATCCCCATCCAAAAAACCCCAAACCTGTCAGTTCAGACAGCGCGCGGCTGAGATGTGTCTCAGTCTCTCTCCTCTCACACACCCTGCTCTAAAACTGTAAAACTGTCAGTGCAAACAGTGCGCGACTGTCTCTATGTCCCCTAACCCCACTCGAAAACTGTTGGTTTAAACAGCGCGCTGCGCAGCTTAGGACGTGTCTCTGTCTGTCCGTCCGTTCATTCTAGTCATCTGTTTTTGCTTTGATTTTTAGTGATAAAAAGTGGTCAGCTCCTCAGTTTTGGTGTTGGCCAACAACTTTGAACATTTTCTCTTTCCCATCCTACCTTCCTGTTAGCATCCAGGTTGGCTGCAGGTATCTGAAGAGTGACCAGGTACTCCGTCCTCTTGTTAAGCTCCTCGGCAATGAAGCTGGCCTCCTGCGCCAACAGTTTGGCCCGAACGATCTGCTCTCTTAGGCGCCGCAGACTGCGGGTCATCATGGCCTCCCTGCACCGAGAACACAAGCACACAAGTTGTGTAAGTGTGCTCAGGTAAGGACTTCTTCAGAACTTCTCCAAGCAACAAGGAACGAGGAACGAGCCGACTCACCTGTCTTCGCTCCGGCGCCGCACGCGTTTGTGAGAGCAGGGTGATGTTACTGCAGCAGCAGCGCCGACAGGGAGGCCCGACAAGTCTAACAGGAGGGTGGGCTTCTCAGGAGTGAGTCGCTGGCGGAGCTGCTGCAGCTCCTGCTCATACATCAGCCTCTGGCGCTCAAGGGCACAGCGCTTCTCCTCCTCGTGCTGCCTCTCCAGAGCCTGCAGCACCGATTGCAACGGATCTGGAGGAGGAAGAGCCACAGGACAGATGGACAATGTTGGATTTCATATTTTTATACCTTTTTATATTTCCTATCAAGCATTCAAATGTCATGTTATACAAAGTGTGTGTGGGTCTTTCTTCCAGGGTTACACTATATTTATAGAAAATGTGTACTAATTCTAACTATTTTACCTTTACATATAATCTTATATTAGCTAATGATAATTTTACAAGTTCACATTTGATATATTACAAGCAATAAAATCATGCCAGATAGCAGACTGATTAACATAAATAAAGCTAGAACACATCTCTTTAATTTAGACTTAATATAGTTTGACTAAGTAAAATCCAACTAAAGCAACTAAACTAAAACAGAAGTATAAAAAGGGATCAAGTAAGAACACGCAAACATGTTAGATAATAATTAATAGTTATTAATTATTCCTAGAAATAAACAATTTTAACTCAAATCATTTGGTATCACTAAGGTATAATCACGTTAAACAAACAGAGCTAAAACAAAGAACGATTTCAGTGTGCCATAAACTTTTTAAACTAACGTCCTTCAGGGGGCGGTCTACACCAGTAACCATGGCAACTGAAGGGCTAAACCAATCAGAGAAGCTAGCTTTTTCAAGCTTTTATAAAAGCCGGAAATGACACACGCTCAGCGGGCATTTCCGGGGAAGACCAGACCGAGACGGTTCGTTCTTTAATGCTCCAAATATATGCATATATTTTACTAATGTAATTGTTTGTCTCTGAATATCTGTAACCCCTGTTTGTCAAATAAATCTTTTATACCGAGGGCGATGTCTCAGCTGTCTTGAACACAACGTGGTAACCAGCCACGACAACAATCACAGGAAGAAACGACAAAGAACGGAAACAAAACTTTCTGTTCCTTCAAATGAAATGAGCCCATCGTCACATTAATTCACACAACCTGGACAGTCGATAAAAAGCTCCCTTCATGTCAGCTTCACTAAGATGGATGGGAAGACTAAGAGGAACAAAGCATCCTAAAAATCTAATGGTGTTGTTGAGTCAACCCAAAGAAGCTGGAACTGCTCATCATCTGCCTCCTGGCAGGCAGACAGGGCTGACAGCATTCTTCACCAAACCGGGCGTTTGATAGTAAATACTCAAACTAGAATACAGTAGTCCCTCATTTATCATGAGGGATCCATACCCTGAAGCCCCACGATAAATGAAAAACTGTGGAGTAGAAATAGTAGTACAAGTAGTAAGTAGTATCCTGATGCATGCTCAATAATCCAGGTAGAAAAATCTAAAAAAGTTAAATCTGGTCCTCTGGACATTCAAAAAAACCCAAAACAAAGCAAAACAACAAAAAATGTAGAAACGTTTCGTCTCTCGTCCGAGAGACTTCTTCAGTCTGAGGTGCTGTTTTCAGCTCAGTCTCTTAAATAGCACCTTCTCAGAGTGGATCAACCAGTTTTGCTGCTGACAACCAAAACCAGCTGATCACATGCTCAAGAAGGACCATCAGCCTAACAATGGATCATTAGCACACTGATGGCTGTTTACTATTCACAGAGGGCTGAGTGATACTAGCAATCACAGCATTGTAAGAGGGGGACAATTGAACACGTAGGCCTCCACCCCTGTTTAATGATGGACGATTTCTTTTCACAAAGATGGCCTCCTTTACTCCTCTCTCAAACCATAGTTCCTCTCTATCCAGGATGTGCACATCTTCATCCCTGAAAGAGTGACCGCTGGCGTGGAGATGAGTGTAGACCGCAGAATCCTGGCCTGATGATGTTGATCTTCTGTGCTGGGCCATCCTTTTGGCCAGTGGCTGTTTTGTTTCCCCGATGTAAGACTGATCACAGCCCTCCTGACACTGAACAGCATACACAATATTACTCTGTTTGTGCCGGGGGACTGGATCTTTGGGATGAACCAGTCTTTGCCGT